AGAAAGAAAAACAAAAGGATAATAAGAGAAGAAATACAAAGAGACAGGGTAACAGAAGTCCTGAAAATATAGGTGGAGGAGTGAGGGCTCTTTGCCCTAGGTAGAAGCAAGTCCTTCAAGGTTCCTGCACAGGATACCAAGTGACAGCACCAAACACTGTGACTTTAAATTGGCAGTTGCTGCTACTTCTCCCGTTATCATCACCACTGCCTTGACTGCCACTATGAACATCGGCAGCTCTTTTATTAAGCCATTATTTCAAGCCAAGAGATTTATTCACCTAATCTTACTTAATCAGCCTTAAAACTTTATGAGGTAGGTATTACTGCTCCTGTTTTACAGGTGAAAACACAGGTTTAGAAATGCCAAGCGACTTGTCTGCTGTCTTCCAGCTGGGAATATCTGTCTGACTCCAACAACTGTGCTTACTGTGCCTTACTGTCTCCTTTAGCCATTTTTTTCCATATTTGTAAATTGGACATAATATTTGTACTCGATACCGGTAGAGTAGCATTTTTCAAATTTTAAGTCATGACACATTAGTGGGGTGTGAAATTGATTGAGGATTGGATAGAATCAAAAATATCAACATTCATCACCCTTATTATTCCTGAAATTTTTGTTTCTGGTTTGTGTGTGTGTCTTTCTGTTTATGTATGCGTGTCCTAAGTGAAATATTACATAGGGAAATGTGTTCCCTACCATGGGACATTGTCAGAAAGCTTTGTGTTTTTGAGATATCACGAAGGTCAAATAAACATAAAAGGTTGTTGCAGAGGTCCTTAGAAACTCTAAAACACCCTTCAAGTGGAAATTAGGATCATTATTTAACCTTGGAACATGAAGAACAGCATGGCAGGTCAGTGTCTCTGTGCTGTTATACCAGCCATGCAGTCCACTGCAAGGAGAACTAACCTGTCACCACATTGTGTCCAGTGGAGCCTAGGACTTAGCCTTGATAATCCTTCCTTGACACAGCACTCCAGGCCTCAAGATGGAAGTTTGCAAATGCAGTAAATAAGCTTATGTTTTGTTGGCGGACGTCAGGACCAGTCTGGTTAAAAAGCACTGCTTAGCACTTGCACAGTCATGGCTCTCATTTAAACAACAGGAAAACAGATGTGATCCCTATGACAACACAGGGGCATTGCATTATAAGCCCCAAAGGAGTTGACTTCTCTCTCTTCCTCTCATAACACACTCCACCACCATCCTCATCTGGAAATGATTTACCTCCTTCCACCTCTCAAAGGTCATCAGACCAATCCAAAGTCCTCACCCATTTTTCCTTTCACAAAGGTGCAAGAGGACCCTCTGCCACGGCCGTTTTCCTTGGAATGTGCTCTTTTCTCATTAATTGCATTTCATGAGGGAACTTCTGGGAACATGGGGTGCCAGTCCCCCAACAACTACCCTGAAGGCATGCTCTTAAGGAGATGGCCTGCTTTTCAGCTCATATAACAAACTCAGTGGTCACAAAAAGACCTGGGTCTCCCCCAGGTTGAAATCACATGTTTAACTGTGTTTCTGCAAGCTGTAAAGGAAGGCTATAGAATTGGCAGTTCATGCAGAAGGCACCCATGGACAGAAAAGTCCATGTGAACCTAAGGATCTGAAAGACATGTCAAAGACTCCTTGAGTGGAATGTGCAATGCACAAGAAACTTTTGTTTCTTGTCAAGACTCAACATGACACTCTGGACTACGTGAGGAAGAACTCAAGCAGCTCAATTACCAACCCAGAAAGCAGGCTCTCAGTGTTTTACAGACCTCACTAATGAATGAATCCCATGGCCTCTGCTGGACCAGGCTTCCCAGTGCTCTGCCAGCCTGCCTCCCACACATCTGCAAATTTGTCAAGCTATAATGGATGGCTGGTGCCAGTAGAGGCTGAAGTCTATGCCTCTCTCCCCAGGATACATAGAGATCTCAAGCCATTAATAATTCATTCTAGAGTAATGAACATAGCCATATGAACTTGTGAGCAGTAATAATCAAGTGACAGATCAATTTATTACTTCCGTATGCCAAAAGATAATGGTAGTTAGTTACAAAAGTTACGACTTTCCTCCCTAAAAAGTTTATAAGCCTTAGATCAATGTGTTTTTTAAGTTCTAAAATAAAATGGATCATTAAAAAGGAAATGATTTATGTTGGGTAGTGGCCTCAAGCCTTGTTATATTCAGAGTTGCTTATCTAGAATCACTGTACCTTTTTTCCCAATGCCTTTGAGCATTGGGGCCTGCAAATTAGAGTAATTGTTATTCATTAATTAAATCTAAGAAATGAAACACAGCTCCAGACTTTGAAAAGGGAGGTTGGAATAGTTGAGATATATTTACCCCCCAAAATCATCAATAATAATTGAAGGTTTTATGAGTAAGTGGCTGGATTGGGAACAGTTGTTTTATGCCTACCCAAATACATTCCATTTAACACCTCATGAACATTTGTTGGACTTCTCCTGGGCCAGACACTGTGCTCAGTGCTAGTGTTACCACCTAAATTCAGCGCAGTCTCTATCCTAAGGCAGTGGTAGAGACATTACTAACATGTAATAAAGGTAATACTTCTGGCTCCATTGAGAGCTGGAGGATCGGAGAAAGACTGGACAGAGACTTCAGAAAGGAGGGGGCCATTTGAGAAGAGTAAGAGAACACTCTAGGCAGTGGAGTGACAAAGGCAGATAGGTGGGAAAGTGGGAAGAGGATGGATAGTAAATTACTATAATAATAATCACTGTGTTTCCCCCACATTAATATTTAATCTGCGCAACCCCCTCATGAAGTAGACATATTATTCACCTTCCCTCCCCTTCAAAGATGAGCCCAAAGCTTAGACACTGAATCATTTGTCCAGAGACCCAGAGTTGGGAGGTGACAGAGGAGGGCTTAGGGGTGAGTTGGGAAAAGGTGTATTACTTCAGTAGAGTCTGGGCTTTACACTAAAGACAATGGAGCCCATCAAGTGTTTATAATCATTATCAGAACAAACAATAGCAGCATTGCTAAACACTTTATACACGCTGTGTCATTGTGTTGTCTCCCAACAACCAGTGAGGTTTGAGGCCATTGTAGTTTTCAGCAGAGAAATGACTTAATCAAGGTTGCATTATAAGCAAACTGGTGGTGGCAGTTAGGATAAAGCCGACCCTAGAGATGCTAGTCAGAGATCCTAGTTAGGAGGCTGTGGGTTTAGTCAGATGTAGTGTTGATGGTAAAAAGTGATCATCATCCAAACCATATGTTATTATATTGGTCTCCAATTTAAAAGTACTTTCATACATAAAAAGCTTGTTGACTCATTTACACAAGAGACTTTTGTGGCCGGCAGGGTAAGTCTAATGACTTTGCTCATTTGGGAGGGGGAAGTATAAGGGCACAGAATTTACTTCCTGCACATAGGAGTCCATGATGAAAGGAGTGATGTTACTAGCAGCCTGTAAATAGGCATACCTGCTGATCGACTGAGTTATAGAACCAAAGTCTTTCTCCCTTGATGGGTAAGAACTTGGCCCTCTGCATTAATGCTTTCAGAAATATGATACAGCTCTGGGTAGATGGGAAGCTATGTAAGTAAATCAAGACATTCCACCAAGACTCAAAAAATGTTTGCAAAATATTTTTATGTGGACCAGAAATAGGCCAGTACATCAGTGGCAGCTCTACTTGCTTAGCAGTCAAAAAACAAATTCTCTTAGTACCTGGCTGGTTCCACGGTTAAAATTTGACAGACCTAACTACTCCCTGCCCCTTTCAGTGGAGAAAGTTTTTATGGCATTAGACTTTTAGCCCTAGAAAATTATAGAAAAGTCTATATTGTTTGATAAAATTGGTTGGTGTAGTAATTTCAGTGAAGTCTCAGTTTCACAACCAGCACTTAAGGCAGTAGAACGTCTTCTCCTCCTACAAAATAGAAGTATTCAAGAGAAACAGTACAGGCATTTATAGAATTGTGTGAAAAAATACTCTCTATAAATAGCACCAAATGCTAGGGAGGTATGTCTGTGCAAACTGCTATCTCTGTCCAATTTCTCTCTAGTCTCTAGTAATGAATAGTTTCCTTTTTCTAACAGGTGATTTAGGGAAGCCCCTAATATTTTCTTAACAATACTAAATTGGGCTGAACTTTTAACTTATTTGTTGTCAGTAGATTATTTGTGTATTTTTAAACACAGGGCCCGCAAATGAACAATTGAGTTTTATGGCTAGGTCACAGTGGCCAAGTTTGGAGTTCATACTCATGTTTTGAGTAGTATTTGTCCAAAAATATGTGTATGTATTTAGCAGATTACTTAGATACAGCTACTGCTGACCCTGTGTGTTCCTTAGACTTTGAGTATAAGTGACAGTATAAACACAGCCATACACATGGATACACGGTAGTGCATTTTTATTTGTTTATGCCACATGTTTCCCTTAATGTAAGCCACATGTTTAATGCGATGGGGTTTAATACTCTGAGCCTAAAGTGCTGAATTTCCTAAGATCTTTTCATCTTAAAAATTAGGTCTGTTTCATGCCTGTATTTACAAATGTGCTAAAGCCATCAAGAGTTTTTATATTTGCATTAGAGAAAATGCTAAGGATCACAATGGTTTAACCAGCAGCGAAGTATGAAAGTCATAACTAAGAGAGATGAGCACTTAGCTGGATTTGCAGCTATTCAGATGTGCAAACTTTCACATTTTGAAGGGCAGCTGCTTTGGTTGGTTGGTTGGCTGTTGGTTGGTTGGTAGGCAAAACAAAATTGGGTAAAGGAGTGTCATGTCCTGAAAGAGCAAAATAGCTGGAGTACTGAAGATTTTTGAAAACTGTGGAGGACAAAAAATACAAGTAGAGAAGTCTCTCTTCGGACTCAAAGACAGGGGACATCTTAAGATGTCCCAGAGTCTGGCTCTTATCAGATGAGGAGTCTGAAGACAGGGAAGGCACGGGGAAGTCAGCTATCTATTTGTACTGTCTTTCTCTCATCTGTGCCTTTTCTTTTCCTTCCTCCCAGTGTTGCTAACAACCACAAGCAGAATTTGATGACAGTGGCAAACCTTGGCGTGGTGTTTGGACCCACCCTGCTGCGTCCTCAGGAAGAAACAGTAGCAGCCATCATGGACATCAAGTTTCAGAATATTGTTATTGAGATCCTAATAGAAAATCATGAAAAGGTAATATATCACTGGTTACTGTGAGTGAAGAATTTTCCTTGGGGGAAAGCTGAGTTGGAAATGGCATTCAGGTTGATGCAGGTTCCTATTGCTAATGCCTCTTACACCATGAAGCTGCTGCTGATGGTGGCGATGTTGGTGATGGTCATCATCTTGTCATGGCAACAGGTACCAAATGGAGAGTAGGACAGCAGTGGTGGTTATGGAAGTGGTAGTGGTGGGCAACATTGGTTGAGCATTTCTTCTGTACTGAGCACTGTGCTAAGTGCTTTATATGGGTTGTAACTGTGTTCTCGTAATAATCCAATGAAGGAGGGACTCTTACGAACTTCCTTTAGAAAATGCCCCTTACTCATTTTTTACATGGTTGTCTTCTCATGAATTTGAGTTTTTTTTCCTTAATATTAGGGAGATTAAACTAAATGGTGTAATTTTTCATACTGTGTGTATGTTGGGGGGAGTTTGTCTTTTCTTTTAGGGCACTGGAGTTTCTTGTCCTTCTTAAAATGATCTCCCTCGTCTCACATAATAAAGTATGTCAACACAGAGCTGCCCTTACAAAACTTGGTTGGGGGCCATGAAGTTTTATACATCTGTCCCACCTTAGCTTCCAATAGCACATCCTTAAGAAGTCTCTCAGAACTTATAGGGTTCTCTGAAACACCATTTGACAGCCACAGTGCTGGGACATAATAAAAAATAATTTAAAAATGTTGTCCATCCTAATTGAAAACTCTACCTAGAATGGTGATTTAATTGTGCTAGATAACCTGCAAAATAAATCTGTAATCAGACTACTATTTATCACTTGTCTGCACTGAAAATACTCTAAATAAGCCATCATCATCTCTTGTCTCGATACTACAACAGCATCCTAATTTATTCCCTTCTCCTACCCTTGGCCTATTTTTTTTTTAAGACGTTATTCATTTATTTGTCAGAAAGAGAGGGAGAGAGAGAGCACAAGCAGGGGGAGCAGCAGGCAGAGAGAGAAGCAGGCTCCTGGTTGAGCAAGGAGCCTGATGTGGGGCTTGATCCCAGACCTTGGGATCATGACCTGAGCCAAAAGCAGATGCTTAACCAACTGAGCCACCTAAGCACCCCTTGGCCTGTCTATTTTGATAACAGCCACCAGAGTGGAATTTTTAAAGTACTAAATCAAATTATATCATTTGTCTGCTAAGAACCTTCTGTGGCTTCCTGTTTCAGGGAGTGAAAGTCAGAGCCCTTACAAGAGCCTGGGAGGTCCTACCCAGGCTCTGCTCTTGCCTCTGTTACTTACCTCATCTCATCTATGGCCTGCTATTTTACTTCACTCCTGTGGCTGCTTTGACTGCTTGCTGTTCTTACACATTGCAGGATGCCCACCTCAAGGCCTTTGCAGTTGTTCTTCCCAGTACTTGGAACAGTCTTCCTCCATGTAACTTAAGAGCATACTTCCTCACCTCTTTTAGGCCTTCTAAGTGAGGCCTACGTAGACCTCGCTATTTATTTATTATTATTATTTTTTATTATGTTAGTCACCATACAGTACATCATTAGTTTTTGATGTAGTGTTCCATGATTCATTGTTTGCGTATAACACCCGGTGCTCCATGCAATACATGCCCTCCTTAATACCTGTCACCGGGCTAACCCATCCCACACCCCCTTCCCCTTTAAAACCCTCAGTTTGTTTTTCAGAGTCCATAGTCTCTCATGGTTCACTTTTGGGTTTTCCGCATAGAGTATCATAGCCTCACTCAAAAAAATAGAAAAATCCCAAATATGCAAACTACCTTTACACCTTAAAGAACTGGAGAATCAACAACAAATTAAGTCTAACCCATGCACGAGGAGGGAAATAATTAAGATTAGAGCAAAGAAATCAGTGAATTAGAAACCAGAAATACAGTAGAATACATCAACGAAACTAGAAGCTCGTTCTTTGAAAAAATTAATAAGATCAATAAACCACTGGCCAGACTTATCCAAAAGGAAAGAGAAATGACCCAAATTAATAAAATAATGAATGAAAGGGGAGAGATCATGACTAACAACAAGGAAATGGAAACAGTCATTACAAATTTTTATTAACAGCTATATGCCAATAAATTAAGCAACCTGGAAGAAATGGTTGCATTCCTAGAAACCTATAAACCAAGACTGAAACAGGAAGAAATTGACAACCTGAGTAGACCAATAAGCAGTAACAAGATTGAAGCAGTGATCAAAAACCTCCCTAAAAACAAGAGTCCAAAACCTCTCTCTATTATCTCTATTTAAAATTGCATATAGTCCCAACTCCAGCATTCCCCTTCTCCCTGATACTGTTTTCTCTCTCCATAACACTTGGAGCTTCCTAGTATATACATAATTTGCCTAGTGATTAAATATGTTGCCTTTCTGACCTCCACTTGGATATATGCTTCTTTCTTTGGATATATCCACTTGGACATATGCAGGACTTGTGTCTGTTTTGTTCACAGCTTTGTCCCCAGGTCCTCAGTAGGCACTCAGTACATATGTGTTGAACAAATGGGCTCCTGTGGTATCTGGCCTCCAGAATGGCTCCAAGTGACCCTTGTCTCCTGGTATCCACTGCTCTGTGTGTTCCCCTCTCTGAATAGGGGATCCCAGTATTGATCCCAATGTAATTAATAGGAAATTGCAAAACTAATGGAGAGAGATCAAATAAGAACTTAGGGCATTTGCTTCGACTTCTGGACTTGCTCACTCTGGGGGAGGCAAGCCACCACGTTGTAACGGCAGTCACGCAACCCTGTGGGACAAAAGTGCGGCTTCCTACCAACAAGCAGACCAATTGGGCCACTATGTGAGTGAACCACTTTGGTTGTCAATCATTTAGTCCTGTTCAGTCCTTCAGATGATGCAGCCCCAACTGACATGTATGCAAACTCGTAAGAAACCAGTAAGTTCAGCCCCTCCTGAATTCCTGACTCATAGAACCTGGGAGAGACGCTAAATGTTTTAAGCCACTAAGTTTTTGAGGTAATTTGCTGTGGAGCATTAATTACTACTAAAGAAGCTCTGAATATAACTTTCCCAAAATAGCAAGTATCCTGCACAGTTGTTTAGGGCATGGCCCCCTTTTACATGGTTAATAAAGAGATAGGAAATCAAATGATTTATTTGAAGAAATTATCTTTTCTCTATTCCAAATTTTGGACCTCCATCTAACCACCTCCCTCAAATATAATTAAATCAGGTATAGGTAAACTTTATGTGATATATGAGAACCTGTGAAAAAGGAATATAATTGAATAGCAGTTAAAAATGTTTTCTACAGAGAAACCATCTGGATTCAAATCTGTCACCTCTTTCTAGTTATGTGACCATGAGCAGATTACCCTAAGCTCTCTGTGCTCATAAAAGTACTTTCAGTACAGTCTAACTGCTGGAAAAAATAACCCCCAAATATCAGTGACTCAGGAGGATAGAAGTTTATCTCTTGGTCACAAAAGAGTTCTCTGTGGGTATTACAAAGGTGGTAATTAAGCAATCCAGGTGCCTTCCATCTGGTGGCTCCGCCCTCTGCTCTGCAGATCTCTGCAGTCAACTAGTGGGGGAAAATGAGGGAGTCTGTAAGACGGGGAAAGATTGTATGGCCTAAGCACAGAGGAGGCTTTCCCTATTTTCTTCCATATTCCATCGGTCAGAAGTCAGTCCCATGATGACATCTAACTGTAAGGAAGGCTGGGAAAGCAAGCTAACTATGTGTTCAGAGCTAGGGGAAGCGAGTTTGATGATCAACTAGCCAGTTTGCCACATTCCTTCAATTGGTTTTCTCTGAGGATTAAATAAGGTACAATATGTCAAGGACTTAGCCAAGAATCTGGCATGAAGTAAGGTTTAATAACTAAACCATTGTTTTTAGCACTCTTAACAAAGGGCCCAGAAAATAGAGCTCAAGTTTGTTTCTGAATGTCACATGTCCTCCCTCCCAAAATAATACTTTTTGTAATTTGATCTTTTCTTGAATAAAATATTAAATGTTGAGACAGATATGCAAAAAATGAGCCATGTAATTATGTTCCATCTCCCCAAATGGGCTGTATTTAAGCCTATAACAGGCAGTGTCCAATGATTTTTGAACTTGCAACTCTTTTTGGTGTCTTTGGGCTTTCAAAGCCAGCAAGCAAATTCAAAAGTAGCATGAAAGAAAAAAGGACCAGAAAGTTCTAACAACAATATTGAAACTTGTGTAAACAAGCAGCCATCCTGCCTAGGGCACAAAATGCAGAAATAGAAATGAAAAATGAAGTGCATGGCTAGGCCTGTAAGTATATGGGCAAGAACTGGTAGGGAAATACTCATCTGGTTTGGTGGGTTATAAATTATGTTACTCTCTGCTGTGTATTTGTTAAGGTACATACAGTATTAAGAGTATTATAGTGCTTCATTATATGTTCCTTTTCATTAGTCTATGCCAGAGAGTGGATGAATCACATTTAGGGTTTATGTTCCTGTGGAAGCCAATGATGAAAGAGTATGAGTGAAAACATTTCTGGGATGAAGACAGCCCCAGAGTGCCTGTCCCCAGTCCTGAAGGAGCTAGTGTACCCCCTTGATAGAGGTTTTTAATCTGGGGTCCATGATGGGCCAAAGTTTGCAAGACCTAGATACGTACATTCTTCTGGGACAACGTCCTTCATATTCATCAGGTTTGTCTTTCTGGTAAAAACAATTTAGGGTAAGGCAACTAGACTCCTTTTTAAATATAGCTTTAGGTCTGGTATAAAATGAGCCGTTCCTACCTTAGGCTCCTACCTTAGGCTTAGCCTCTGAAGTTCACTTAATAGGAATCCTAAGCATCCATGGCCATGCTGTGGCCCCCGCCTTTCTGGAGACAATGCTTTGGATAAATTTCTCCCAATAGAACTGAACTGTGGTCATCAAATCCAGAGCTCTCTTAATGTCCTCAGATGAATATTGTCAGAGACATGTTCTTTAAAATTCACACTATTAAGATCTTAATTAATATTTAATGGGCATTCCCT